CCCACCCCATCTTCTCATGACTCCTTTCAGGTCAAAGATCTTCCATCTTCCGGCGCCTGCTGCACTGCTTACTGGGCAGAGCTCACTCTACAAAGAAGAAAATAGCCCAGGTAAGAGAATATGTGTCTAGAGGAAGAAGGGAGATCAGGAGCCTGTCCTTGTGGAACAAGAAGTCAAAGTCCTTGGAAGGGCAGAGATCCCACCAAGAGTGGCAATGGTTTGAAAAGGTGGCTTTTTGGACTGGATCTGTCCAGGGAGACATGGTTTCTACATCTCTGAAAACTGTGACTAGCCTTAAGAAGAAAAGGGAAATAACTTGGCCCTGTTTCTTTCTTCCCTAGGATTCAACGGATTTAGTGGATAACATGTCACCGGAAGAGGTAAGAAAATCCACTGCAGATTTTTTTCATCCAGTGACGGTATTGCTTTTCTTGCTTTGTTTTTGAGACAGGGTCTTACTATGCAGTTCCTGGGTATCCTGGAACTCACTGTGATGGCCTCAAATATCCATCTGCCTCTGCCTCCCAAGTGCTAGGATTAAAGGTGTGCACCACCATTTCTAATTGTACCATGAAGACTCAACACCAGACTGTTGATGAACATGGCCCTTTAATGCCTGTTAGAAATAAAGCGCATCTAGGTACAAAAAGAAGACTGATTATGTATTTCTAATGAATATCTTTCTCAAACAGATATTGAGAAGACATTTCTGAGGTCAAGAGTCAAACAAAAGTAAAAATTCCTTATATATCAAGATGTTGATTTTGACAAAACTCATACTGAGTCAATACAGAAATTAGAAAAAGCAGTCAATGTGAAAAGAATTTACCTGCTGTCCCTGCTAAGATTTAAGTCTCACATAGTGAGAACTCTAGTTTCTAACCGGTGTTTAACTTTTCTTAAGACCCAGAAGCAACATCTTCCTCTCCTTGGACAGAAGCTGGAGGTATATCTAGTATGTGGTCAGCACAAAAATGCTAGACTCTACCAATCACTGCCTATGGAGTCCCTGTCAAACTTAGCACTGTGTCCCGACTACTTCATCTGCACAATGTAGATGAAGGCAGAGCTGTTAAGAGGATTCGATGAGCTAAGACACGGATAGGAATTAGAATTATGCCCAGTACAGATGAAGCGCTTGGCAAATGAAATGTAGCTACTGTTGTTACTGGGAAAGGGGGTGGAACTCTGAAGGACCAAGAAAGCAGGTCCTATCTAAGTCCCATCCTCTTTGCAACATTTCAGACAAGCATCCTCTTATACTAAGAACCAGTTAGGCTCCCTGTAACCCTTTAGCCAGGATCATGGGAGTTTACAGGATGCATAGCTGTGTCCAGAAATTTCAACAGAACATGACCCTTGGAGGGAGCTTCAGTGTGGCCTCAGCACTCAATCCTGGGACTAGGAGCTAGCTAGCCTTTGCTGGCCCTCTCTGCAGGTAGAGTGCAGATTTAGAAAATAAGAAAATTGAAGTGTGACATCATTCAGTAGGACAGGAGAGCATCTTAGATTGATTGACGAGTCCTGGAAAGAGTGGCTTATCTGGCATCTTGGGTTGTAGATGTGTAAGTCCAGAGGATAGCTGGCTTTGAGCCTTAATGATTTGATTAATAGATTAAAAACAAAACAAACAAAACATAAACAGTCCAAGTCCACTAAATACCAAGCAGTGCAGAGAGTCTGCTCAGAGTCAGCAAATAGTCAGTCTGCTCTACACGTAAGAGGTGACTGCTAGCTGCCTCCATCTCCAGCTGTTGACATCACTTAACTCTACCAGTGAGTGTATATCCAGTAGGCAGAGGGGCCGACATAAGGCTGAGTATAAACTGTCATTTCTGAAAAGCAAAGGCTCACAAAGCATCAAGGTATGATAAGAATTATTGAACAGAAAAAATGTGTCTGAATGGGATTGTCAATATGACACACAGTGAAGGTTGGACAAAAGTGTGTGAAGACCAGGAGGACACAGACTATAGGAAGGACCCATATTCTGGGTACCTGAGGGTGAAGGGTGGACCTTGAGGCCAGATAACAGAGGAGAAGGAAGCTGTGACCCTCTGAGAGGAAAAGGTGTGCCTATCAACCAAGAGTGTCTGTGATGGTTCCCGCGGGACAAAGCTGGGCTCCTGAAGTTGAAGGGTCTCTGTGCTACTCTGTCAACAGATTGAGGCCTGGGAGCGGGAACAGCTGAGCCAGCCTGTGTGCTTTGACTGCTGCTGTATCGACCAGTCTCCCTTCCAGCTGGTGGAGCAGACAACGCTGCACAAGGCAAGCCCTCGCTGACTGCTCAGGGCTTTAGGGAGGGCAGAAGTGGGCACATGCTGACCTGTGCTTTCCCCATCAGACTCATACACTCTTCTCACTTCTTGGCCTCCATCTTGCCTATGTGACCAGCATGGGGAAGCTCAGAGGTGTCTTGGCACTAGAAGAGGTAAGGATGACTAGGCCCCACTTGACCAGAGAGAGAGAAGGAGGAACGGACCCAGGACAAGGGGACATGGTGGGGAACATGTAGAGCAAGGGAGAGACTGCAAAGCATGTTGTGGACACAGTCCTCTAAGGGACATAGTTCTCCAGCCAGTGGGGACCCCATGTGGTTTTCTCCCAGTGGTCTGGTTTGGTTGAGTGGGGTTTAGGTGAGCTATGGGGAGGTGTGTGGGGATATGTGAGAGGTACGAAGCAACCACTAGGAGGAAAGGGGTTTCCGCGGGCCTTGAGGGACACTGGCAGTCTCTTCCTCCTGATATGCAGGAATAGCTTTGTCTTTTTGTCTTTCCCCATGATTGTTCCCTGTCTCTCTTGGCTTTCTCCCCTGCTTGCTCTTCTCTTCATTTCCGTCTCTTCCTGTTTTGTCGATTCTTGCAGTGTTTTTTTTTTCATTGTCCCCCATCTTCTTTCTTTTTCCCATTGTCTCTCTCTTTACCTCTTCCTCTTCCTCTCCAGCTACAGAAAGCTATTGAGGGCCACACCAAATCTGGGGTGCAGCTCCGTCCTCCTCTTGCCAGCTTCCGGAATACAACTTCAACTCGGAAGAGTCCTGGGGGGCCACCTCCTCCTGCAGAGGGCTGGGGTCTGCCTGAGGGTGGAAATGAGGCTCCTGGAGCAGAAGTCATAGTTCCTACCATGCCAGAAACTCCTGTACCACCTCCATCTCCAGAGGTCCCTCACTGCATGGCCCCAACCAAAGTGGAGGGTGAGCTGGATGAGCTGGAGATGGTAGGAAGCCCAGGACCAGAGGAGGACCTGGCTGACATTTTGCATGGCCCCAGCCTACGGTCCACTGATGAGGAGGATGAAGATGAGCTGATTCTGTGAACAACCCCTTCCAAACTTTCTTCCTAAGAACCAGGGGCCCATGCCAGAGAGTGGGCTTGTATGTGATAGGAGTGTTGAAGTCGAGGAGGCCCCGACTTCATCTTATTCTTACCCGCACTGTGAAAGTTGATGGTGATGATCTTAAGGAGAACTTGACCTTGGGCATGGAAGAATTTGGGTCCATCAGACGCCTTCCCCCATTCCCAGGCAGGGCTCAAGAACCCATGCTTGGAAGACCCCTGTGTTTCCTGCTGTGCAGGTCCAGTCCCCATCAGTCTCTCACCTCCCACAGTCCCCAGTGTTGTTCAGGTACCATCCTGATTCTGCCTGTCTAGATTTCGGCTTCCGCATGGAATAGGAGAATGGTGGTCCAGGTGGATTGATGTGCCACATTGTAAGGGATGTGGGACCATAACATTGCACTGTGGACTGACCACCTTACAACGTGCCCCCAAGCCCGCCCACCCTAGGTTCCAGGGAACTAAGTGCAGTTCCCTGGAAAAGAGGTTGACAAAGGCTCCATGTGGAGAGGCAGGATGTCATGGCCCAGTGCATGTGTCTGACCCCGGCAGCAGAAAGCTTTCCTGTATCCTGGGCTGCCTCCCTAGTTCCAGGTTTCCACTAGGACAGGCATATTCCCACTGCAATGGCTGGCTTAGCCTGCCAACAGTCATCTCTGCCTTGGAGCTACTCTAGCTGGAGCTCCTCCCCAAGCACCAGCAGTGGGTCATGCAGAGTCCAGTCTTTTATAGTAGCTCCTTGGGATCTTCTGGCATAGACTTGGGGGTACCCTTGGGGTGGCAAGCTTTCGTCTGCCCCACCCCTAGAGGACTCTCATCTTGGTTGGCCAAGAACTTGATAGTTGTATTATACAGCATTAGCCTGTCCCACCCAAAAAGAGATGCCACATGTTCTGAGTATGTAGACACCTGGCTCCATTCATGGCTTTTCCTTCCCTCGAGGTATACTTTAGCTCTGCAGCTGAGCCCTCAGACAGTTTCTTGTCTGCCCCTCCTCCCTTGCCCAGGTCTCCTCTATCCCCCCAAATAAGACACTCATACTCAGAGGATGCCACCACATTCTGTTTAGTGTCATTCAACACAGCCTCTGGCCTTCTCCAACGTGGGTTCCTTCGACCTCCTCAGGCCAAGAAAGACACTGAAGCCTAGGTAGGAGAATTACAGGGGGCATCCAAGCCCATGCCCATGTGTATATAATCTATAATACTTATATATATTTATATAGAATTCTCTCTGTAATATATGTCATAGAATCCTTCCTGGGCCTGGGGTGAGTTTCACATTAAGAAAACATGCTAAGACTGACCATAGAAATGGGTATGCCTCAGACCTGGAAGACAGTGTGGGATGTAAAGGGGTAAGAACTCATCCTTCAAGATTCCCTCCTTAGCACAAGGAAAAAGAAGGGAGGTGTGTGAACTGGGGAGGGCAATGGAAGTGAAGGAATGGAAGGTTTGGATTTTCATTTAATAAAGTCAATTGAAAATTAAAGTGTACCCCCCCCTAAAAAAATCATTCAGCAAGAGCAGTTTCATTCACAAGAATATAAAAAAACAGCCCTGCTCCCCAGCTGCTGTAACACGTGCTGCACAGCCTTTAACCCCAAAGGAAAAGCAACCCTTCCCACCCACCCCTAACAGCCTCTTCCTGCACATGCCCCACCCCTCCCCTTAAAGTAGGCTAGAAGCAAACCCCCATGCACCCTGCCCCAGCACCAGAGAGGTGGTCCCTCCCTCCAAAAGAGTTCAACATGGTTCTGGGTCAGCTCCTTGAGTCTTCTCTCTCCAGAGTGGGGCGGGCCTCACCTGCCTCTGTGGCAGTATGCCAGCAGCCTGGGGAAACCAAGCCCCTGCTCAGGTACAGACCCTACAAGGCTCCTTCAGGTCTTTTGTAGTCTTTCATTGGGGACCATTTGGCTTCCTTGAGGAATGGAAGGAGTAAAGAAAGCTGCTTTAGTTTAGTCTTCCTAACTCTCCAGGGCCCTGAGCAAAAGGGAACCAAAGTGAATGAACCTACTCTCTGGACTCGATGTCCACCTTCACCTGGGGGAAGAATACGGGGTCACTGAGATGAGATGCACATGTTGAGAGAGAGAATAGACAAGGCAGAGAGACCCTTGGAGTAGGTTAGCTTGAACATGCAAGTCCCAGGGGGATAGGACAGGAGACCAGGGGTTAGGGGCAGTTGCCAGGATTGGCAGGCTAGCCCTTCCTAGTCCAAGAAATGAGGTCCTGATAGGCTAAACCACAACACTAGCAAGCACGAGGTATCTTCTCCCATTCAGGCAGCGTTAGATGAGCTGAGTGACTAGTCACCTACCTTGGCTCTCCAGGTCTACTCCCATGTTTCCTCCATGACCTGACCCCAGGATCCAATGCATCCCCTCCCCTGAAGGATGTGGGACACCTACTCTGGTCACACTTCAGTGTATGAATACGGTGCAGGACAGAGTTACGGAAGAACAAGATCACGTCAACTCTGAGCCTCATTGTTCCTGTGGGTGAGGGAGTAGTTCGGGACCCCTGACAGTTATAGTAGGACACAAAGCCTTGGAACTGGAGCCATAAACAGACAGGAGGAAGAAAAAGAGGGTGACAAGCTTGGGCGTGTCCTATCAAATCTCTGCTTATGCCAAGGGCCAGATTGAGGCTGCAGCTGCTCCAGCCCATTCATAGCAATACTGCACCGACTTGCTGCTGCTCCCTGTCCCCAGAGTCCACTCCGAATCAGGGGGCAAAGGAGGTGTGGGAGGGCAAGCTTATGTCTCGCCACAACCTGTCCCGTAAGTAATGATGGATGGAGAAGCCCGGGGGAACAGCCGACACAAACGCAGAAGCATCCAGTGTCCACCCTGGCCCATCCAGTGTCCACCCTGGCCCATCCAGTGTTCACCCTGGCCCTCAGCCACCAGCCCAGCCAAGGCAGTGACAGCACCAGACTTCCCACTCCACTCTGCTCAACCCTGAGTCCCCAAGAAGTTATAAAAATGTAGAAAAGGCAAAGAGAAAAGTGTAAACAGCTCCAGAGAATTAGGGGAAGGTAGAGGGAGGCCCAGCCATTGTGGTACCCCCGTTGATGGGACACTGCGATCCGAGGTCAACAATCTGAGACTGGTTCCCACTCACCCTCCTCAGGCATGGGTGGAAGAAGGCAGAAAGGGAAGCTAGAGTAGCCAACCCCATGGGGCCTTCTCCCAGATCCTTAAGGTCCTCCTTCCAGCCACAGGGCATTCAAGTGGCTGTGTTTATTCTTTGTCTCATTGGCGACCCTCTTGCCTCTGAGTAGGCTTTGGGATGAAGAATCATACTGTGACCCCTGTCATTCCCAGCTGCCATGTCCATCTCGTCCTTGGCTCCCGATCCCAGAAGCCAAAGAATGCCTGAATCGGGCACACTGTCTATGCTAAACACAGAAGGGCTGTTCAGGCCACTCTGCCGTCCCCACCAAGCCATGTCCAACAGCCCTGAGGCCTGCTTCCCACAGCGGAGAAGCACTGATGCCATGGCCAGAAAAAACAGAATCAGGAAAGCAAGAGTGAAATGGAGAAAGGAGGCATTCAGACAGCACAGCCAAGGCTCCTGGAAGACGAAATCAGGGGTGTAAAACTGAGATTCGGCGTTCAGCACGGTGCACCTGGGCATGGACCCAAGAACCATAGCTATGGCTCATCTCCCACCATCATGCCAGGTTCATAGCCACCTAATTTTGCCTGGGTCTCAGTTCCTGGAATGATGGTTTCTGGAGTACAAGCCTAGATAAAACCCCCTGCTGGTCCTTCACTTTCCAGGGTGCTAGTGGGCTGGTGAGGGCTGGAAGCTCGCGGTTCCCTGCTGTCTTCTGCCCGGGTTTCATCTGTGCTGCTGGAGCTTGAGAGGGTATGGGTTGCAGCCATGCCCCTCAGGACAGTGGGGTGGGAAGAAGCTAGTTGTTGGTGTCCCCCTCCTCCTCATCAAAGGACTGCACACCTGAGGATGTGACATCGGACACCTTCCGGCTAAGAGCGGTGGACATCTCCGGATCTTCTCGTGGGGAAAGTGACTCCAGGTCCCGGCATCCTGCATCCTCTTCCTCCTCAGGGGCCAGTGGTCTCTTCTCTTCCTCTACAGAACCCCTGGCCAGGTCCACCCCACCAACCTCTGGTGCCCAGTCAGTGTCTACCCCCAACAAAGGTGGAGGCTCCTGAGCAGAGTATCCTGAAGCAGGTTGGGAAGGCCCTATGTCATGCAGGCTGGGCTGTGAGTCATCAAATGCAGGGCCAAGATAGGATCCTGTAGCTGGAGATGCAATGAGGGACTGATCACTCGCTTCCCAGGCATCTGATGACCCCAGGCAGTACATCCCCTGTGACACGTAGGAGTGAGGCCATCCATCCATGGGGGCTTGAGCTAATGCATCTGTAAAGAGAATGAGCAGGGTTGGAGGAGCCACAGAACATCACAGGCAGTGAGAAGAGCTCACGGAACTTTTGTCTTATGCTTATGACATAGGTATGGGGGCACAAAAGGAGCTGAGACAAACAGGCAAGTCCTAAAAGAACAGAAAAGGACAGAGGGAGTCTAAATTGCTGGGAAGCTCCTCAGGCTTAGGGTTGGACCCTTGAAGCATCTCTCACCCTGACTCTCCATCAGCTCCTGGTAGTTGTCACTGTAGTTGCAGTCCAGTGGCTCCTGGGTAGAATTGACACTCATGTCCTCACCATCCATGGAAGACCAGGCCATAAGTGTAGCCTCAGAAATAGCAAACTGTTCCATGACACCTATGAGAAGAAATGAAATTATCCTAAGAGTCCTCAAGTAACCCTTAGACTCATGAAAGGGGTGTGGAGAATCCTGGTGCAGCATGGTTCAATGGAAGTACAAGATAAACCATGTATCATCTCACTTAAGAAAACAGAGGGCTTGAGAGATGGCTCAGAGGGTAAGAGCACTGGCTGCTCTTCCAGAGGTCCTGAGTTCAATTCCCAGCAACTACATGGTGGCTCACCATCATCTGTAATGAGATCTGGTGCCCTCTTCTGGCCTGAAGGAATACACGCAGGCAGAACACTATACATAATAAATAAATCTTAAAAAAAGAAAGAAAATGAAACAAACAAGTGGAATTAGTTTTAATAATAAATCTTAAATTTAAGTGTATATATGATTCTCTTTCGATATACAATCAACATAAACATTAGTGAGGTGTTTTGCATTCTTCATATGAAGTCAGTTGGTACTTTCCTTATAGCACATCTTCATGGAGATGGGTCACAATTCATATTCTCAATAACCACATGTAGGTAGTATTTACTCTTTTACTCTGAAGCAAGGCTAGACCATGGGGGATTTTTCAAAAGGTCACACTTATCAAATTCCTAGAGGAAAAGATGGGTTCCTCTGGTGAAATAGCCTGAGAGATTAAGGTTAAAAATTCCAGAAGTTTGTCTATGGAGGTTTTAGAATTTGAACCTGGAGTTAGAGAGATGCCTTAGTGGAAAAGCTTACTGCTCTAGCAGAGTACCTGAGTTAGGTTCTGAGTACCCATGCCAGGCAGTTCACAACAGCTTGTACCTCAAAATTGGGGGGTTCTAACATCCTTGCCTCCAGGGTCTCTTACATACATATGGAACACACAAACATATGCAGGTAAAAACACGTGAACATAAATAAAACAATTTTTTAAAAGAAATAAATGGAACCTAAATTCAGATGGTCTAGGATATAGGCATCCAGATAGTAGGTTTCAGAATTAATGAAGATTTCCCAAGGGAGCATCAGGTGAATACGGGTCCCCAGTCACATAAGCGACTCCGTCAAGGGACTAGAAGGAGGGCGTGATAGCTAGGACGAGAGCATTGCGGGTCCCTAGTCTAGTCAGAGCCATGAACAAGCTCCATTGCTATTACCTTGTCCTCCCTCTCTGCACTCCACGTCTATCATCCAGCCCTACTCAGACTTCCTCCACCACCCACCACCCGTACCAACAACACAAAAGTCCTTCTCTTCAGCCCTACCCCTCTCCTTGTGTATCTTCCTAAGAGCTGCCAACAGGATTAGTTTATCTTCCCATGAACACCACATACGCGTCACCAGACCTATACCAGTGTCATCAGAACGAAACCGTTTTCAGGGCCATTCCCCTTAGCCATCCACTCTCATGAGTCCACTAAGTCAATTCAAGAAATCAAGCACTGACGAGCATGGCTAGAAGAAATCTCCGGGGCCTCTTTCATTTTTAGAAACAGGTATAAGCAGAGTCATTTGAAGTCCCGGGCCCCCGTGTTTTCCTGTAGACTAAGAGAGGCCAGGGGAAAGACGGTACCATATTAAAGGAAAGAAAACATCTGGGACACATGGCCTCACAAATCTCATTGGCACCCTATTTTCTAAGGCTATAATAAAAATATGTTGGAGGGAACTTACCAGGATTAACCAGTCCCAAAACAAAAACAAACAAAGTTGAAATCAAGGCTGTTAGAAAATATGAACCTGTGATCAGTATGTAGGGAGATCATTTTGCCATAAGAAAGCAGACTGGAGGGTCAGCCTCTCACCATCAAAACAAACAAACAAACAAACAAAATGTATTATCTGAGGGCTTGGGATGCAAGTACCTGCTAGAAAACGTGCCTCCTTCTCGCCGTCGCTGAGGTCAGAGTAAGCATCTGTATCTCTGCGCACAGCCTCATGGCTGTGTTGTGGCTGAATTGTTGGGGCCTTTCCCCAGCCCTGCCACTCAATCATGTGGGCCACTCGGCCTTGCCCCATGGCTGTAGGCTTTGTCACATGGTCCTTCATGCTTCTCGAGATCCCTATGGAGTCAGACAATACACCCACACCCTTCAGGATATCACACAATACACATAGCAGATCCACACATCATCCCCACCCAGGTTCCATGGGATTCCAACCACTGGGAAAGTATCCCTTGGTATCCTGAAGGGGTAGTCTCAGGACAGACTTGACGGAAATGCAGATGTTGTGCGGGTAAACTCTGAGACATCTTGATGAGCAGAGAAACAAAGACAATCCTGCCAATATTTCCGTTTCCAGGTTTGGAGTCTCACCTGAGAATGATGACTTGGCCAGGGCCCCAATGCCATAGGCATTAGAGTTTCGCTTAAGCTTCGGAAGGATGGAAGTGGTGTCCTCCATGGAGAGCTAGGACAGGGAAGGTAAGAGAGTGGGCAGAGGAATAAGAAGGCTTGGGGGGGTGCTCTACATATAGAATAGTTTTTGGTTCCCAGGAAGGTGGATACTCAAGGGAACAAATGACAAAGAAAATCAAGGATGTATATAGGCACACCCCTGAAAGCTGGGAGGTCAGCAGAACAGGGGAGGTCTCGTGCGGCCTATCTATAGAGGGTCCTGATGAATGCAGGAAAAGAAGGGTCAGGGTAGGTTGGGGAGGGCTAGGGGTGGCTGCACTCACATTGATGCCGTCCCAGGAGAAATCTGTTCGTGTTTGCTGTAGGAGAGAGGAGAGGGGATGGTATCTGGGCACCTCTAGAAGTGCAATTCTGACTTCTTTTGAGGGACTTCCAGAGAGTCACAGAGAGGTAGACCTTCCTGAGGCTGAGAAAGATCTCAGTGTGTAGCATTTGGTGTGTGTTTCGGGAAGCAGGGAGATGTGGTCTGTTCCATCTACAGGAGTGTTTGGGATGTTGCCATAGAACTTATGAAGAAAATTCCCCCTTGGGCCTTTATGGGATGATGAGATGGTCAAGCAGCTAGGAATCTGGGCTAGGTTGCTGAAGTCGGGGGGTGGGTCTCTGAAGCACCCATCCTTACCTCGGTGGAAGGGCGGTGGAGGCTGCTGCCATGCAGTGAGCTGGTGCTGTCCATGTTGATCTGATCGACATCCTTGAGGCCCTTCCAGTCCACTGCAATCACTTCGTTCCCTGAAGCAGCCAGAAGGTTAGTTGCTCGCCCTCATTCCCCTGGATCTCTGCTTGCTCCCTTCCCATAAAAGACAGAGCCTAGGGTCCAGCCCTTCCACACCTGCCCACCAGTGCCATGCCTTCTGGCTAACCATTTCCTTCTATGTCTTTACCATCCATAAATTTTTGGCGAGAGAAATAAGTGAAACAAAACACTCATTTTCAGCTTAATGGGGAACAGCACGCTTAGGAAAAAATGCTTCCTGGCCCTCTCTGGTGTTGTTTACATGGAGAGAGAGGGGTCAGGGATTGGGCTGTTTCCATTCTGTGCCGAGGAATCTTTGAGACTGTCTTTATTGGATCCAGACTTCTCACCAATTAACTGCCCTACAAACAAGGACACAGCTTTCTAGGGGAAGCTACTTGACTGTGCAGCTGGCTTCGATATTTGAGGGATGAGAGGAATGTGGCTTCCCCCTTGGGCCTTCCTAATAGTCAGGGAACTTAAGATATGGTGGGGATAAAGGCAGGTGATAGGTAAGAACCTGAGACTGTTTCCCCTGGAGCCAGAGAACTCGAAGATGCAATGGAGACTGTGAGCCCAATTCTCTCAGGGGACAGAAAATGAATTCAGGAGGAGAGAGAGAGACATAAGAATAGGAAACAAGAGGACTTTGTAATTTCGGAGCTAAAAGAACAGAAATTGAAGGTGAGATGACCGGAGACAATGGGGGAGGTGGATGGGACACTTTGAGAACTGGTGGCCAAGTAAGGAACCTAGGGAAGACTCCTGACCTGAACGCAAGGTGTCCTCTGGAAGTCGTGGGGACGAATTTCTTGAGTATTTACAGAGAGATTCAAGAATCAAGTGGCGGCCTGAGCCATCTGCCCTAAAGCCATTGCGTAGGTGAACTTTTGCCTTTTGGGTTTAGGATTATAGGTTCCTTCTCTGGAGGTATTCTGACTGAGTCTTCGGCATGAAGAGGCATCCAGCATGCAGCAATAGAAAGTGGCAAAGAACAAAGAGGGTGGAGGTCCTAGGAATTTGAGGCAGAGCTCTCCATATACTCTCCAAGTTGTTCTGCTCTCTCTTGGGATCTTGTGAAATGATGAGGTGCGTGAGACTCAGACCTGTGGCTAGGTCAAAGAGGAATACACTGAACCTAGCAGTGACGGGGCAGGCAGAGAGAGCTCTCAGAGAGGAGTGGGAGAGAAGGGGTGAGCAAGGGGAGGAAGGGGAGGTGGCCTTGAGAAAGAGGGGGAGCTGAGTCAGAGCGGGGGGATGGAGGGAAGGAGAACAGGGAAAGAGGTGAAGGCAGAGGAGGGTCTCCATGGAAATAAACTGGGTCTCAGAAATCAGGCTTCTGGAAAGTGAGTTTGTTTGTAATAATAATACAAATTATTCTCTCAGCCTGAGGTCACTAGGGCGTGTAGGCGGGAGAAATTGGGAGTTAGGAAGGGGAAAATTGGGGGGTTTTGGAAAGGACTGTACTAATGGGTTCAGCCCTAAAGCGGAATGGATGCGTGGGGGGTGGGAGTAAGGGGGCGGTAGTAAGGCAGAGGCTGGAGGAAGAGGACCGTTAAGGAAGCGCCTTTCTTCCCTCCCCCTGTCAAAGGTAAATAAAGAGCCAGCCCTGCCCTGCCTGCCCCCGCTGACAGGTGCAGGAGGGTCCCGGGGCTCCTGGCGAACCCCACCCTTCTGGGAAATGTAATCCCGACCCCTCTCGGGACGGTAAACCTCTAGCTCCTCCCTGAGTCCACGGCTCTACCCAAGCACCCCGGCCCAAGCCCATTCCCTCCGGGCGTGGAACCCGTTCCCTCCCGGTGGCACACGCTCTTCCCGCCCCCGCCCCAGAGGGAAAATGCACGTGAACAAAGCAAATCGGGGGAGGCAGGAGCGACGGAAAAAGGCTACCAAGAGGGAAATGGTTGGGGGCAAAACACACATGCCATATGGAGGGGAAGGTGGAGGGTGAGGATGGGAGGGGGTGCGCGGAAGAAAGTCAGGGCTGAGGCTGAAGAGAAGGTTCTGAGAAGAGGGGCTGCTTCAGAAAGAGGGGCGTCCCGGAGGTTCTGGTCACGGCGGAGTAGACGCGGATGGCCTGGGGATGGAGGGATGGGGCGACTGGGAATAGGGAACAGCGAGCAAAGAAGGAAGCTGGTGGAGAGGCGGTCGGGGAAGGACCGCGCCTGCGGGAGGGCGATGAAGAGAAGGCAACGAGCCGAGAGGGATGGAAGCCCGGGAGGCGCGAGGGCAGAGGGATGGAGGGACCACAGCGGATGGAGGGAAAGTGAAGGCGCGAGGCAGGGCCAGGCGAGCCCGGAGGGAGGTCCCCAGGGGCGAGGATGGGGATGGGGGAGGGGGCCGGAGGAGAGCCCCCGGACAAGCTTGCCCCTGACCCGCGCCCGGCCGCCGTACCCACCCACAGTCCGGGAGCCGATGCAGCCCATGGCTCCGGGGTCCGCCGGGGCCCGGCCCTCACCAACTCGGGGCGCGCGCCGGGGGGAGCACCGGGAGCCGCGCCGCCGCCCCAGCCGCTCTGCAGCGCCGCGGCTGTCTCCGCTCGGCTCCGCTCCCCCCTCCCCTCTCCATCCCTCCCCACGGCAGCCTCCGTCGCCGCCGCTGCCGCCGCCGCCACCGCCTGGCTCCCCCGCCCCGCTCGGCTTTCGGCGGCCGTGGAGGGGGCTGCTTGGGGATTGGCTGCGCGCGGCGCCTCCCCGCCCTGCCCCCGACCGGCGATGCTCCCAACGCCCCTCGCCCCCCTCGCCGCGTCCCTCCGCCTGTCCTTCGCAGCCCCCACCCCTGGGCTCCTCGCCCATCCCCGCTTGTGGGCTCCCAGGAGATGCTGATGGAGAGTCGATAATAACCAGCTTGGGTCTCAGGAGCCAGGTCAGGAACCGAGGGCCCACCCATAGCATCTGCTTGATGGACTTAGAGGGCTGCAGGGTGAGAAGGCCACTAGAGAAAGTGGGGCGGAGATGAGAGGACAGACAGTCTGCTGAATAGCGTTGGGTACCAAATTCCGCAAACACTTGTTTTCTTTCTGCGGTTGCTTCTGGGACGCACGAATAGGGATTGGATGCTGTTCTGGTTGCTCTGCGTTTCACGTGCGTTGCTTTGCCCACCCAAACAGATCGTAAAGTCTTTGCCAGTGGATGTTTGCGAGATGCTTCTCTGTCCTCTAGCTGTTCCGGGATGGGTGTGGGGCTGGAGCTGGTATTCTAGTTCTAGGCCTGGGTGGAGATAGAAGGTGAATAGAAATAATTTTATTGCCACTATGGAGAAGTGAAAATATCAGTACCCGAAACCGGCAACAAGACATGGTTTTAAATCAGATATAACTTTTCTGAGCCTTATGTGAATGTCCAGAAGCAGCAAAGGAAGAATACTGCCCCCTGCCGAGAAGGGTCAGCACTACACCACGGACTCCATGGGAAAGAAGAGAGAGTCAAAGGGGGCACTATTATCACTACTGGCAGAAAGAGTCTAAAAGACACACTAGAAAGGACAAGGAGACCCTTTCGTCTTAGCGAAACCAGTAACCGCAAGATGTGAGCAAGAGGTCGGTCTGGATGGTACCACTGAACAGAAGCAAATGCTAGTTCAGAATACAAATCCGTAGCTTTTGTATCCTTCCTGGGTCTAGAGAGGGAGAGGACAAACGGGGTAGGTGCCTTTGTGGGCTTGAAGCAGAAAGGACAAGTCTTATAGATGTAAGTTTGTGACATTTAGATTATGACTGAGGAGTGACATCCTATGAAATCCCGGATGAATATGTGGGGGAGGATACTTTTGTTCATTTTCTGGTGCCATAACAAAATGCTTGAGACCAGGAAGTTTATAAAGACTAGAAGTTTGGAGGCTGGGAAGGCCACTGCTGCAAGTGTGTGTGGTCAGGGCCTTGATGAATTGTAACACTCAGAGGACATCATATCATATGGTGAGACAGGATGAATATGTTAGTGTCACCTTCTTTCTCTGATAAAGCCACTAGTGCCAACCCCTGTGACCTCATCTAATCCTTATTACTGCTCTAAGACCCTGTCTGCAAATACCATTAACATATGAATTCAGGGATTAAGTCCAAGCCGTGGATTCGAAGGATCACTTGTAAGCTATCAGGCACTGACACTAACTGCAGATCTTGAAGGTGGATTTAGAACAGAAGAACATGCTGGGGCAGAGGGGTGTTGGTTCTGGACAGCTGCCTTCTGATCTCTGTGAGGACAGTGACTTCTCTGCATCTTTTGAGTCAGGGCTTAAATGTTCAGTTTTCACAATGGAAACAAGCTTCCTGGAAGACAATTTGACAGTACTGATCACATATGTATGTATGCATGCATGCATATTTAAAATTGCATCTGCTGCCGGGCGATGGTGGCGCACGCCTTTAATCCCAGCACTCGGGAGGCAGAGGCAGGCGGATCTCTGTGAGTTCGAGACCAGCCTGGTCTACAGAGCTAGTGCCAGGACAGGCTCCAAAGCCACAGAGAAACCCTGCCTCGAAAAACCAAAAAATTAATTAGTTAATTAATAAAATAAAATAAAATTGCATCTGCTTTTACATATATATACCTTAACACAAGCTATTCAGGAGAACTAGTGGAAAGGTTGAGCATTCAGAAGGGCCGGTGAGCACCTGCCCTGGGTGTAGTTCCCGGGAAGGCATCCTGTCCTGGTTTGCTGTCTATTGCTGTGATAAACGCAATGACTGGAACCAGCTTGAGAGTTTATTTCACCTCACAGGTTGTAGTCCATCATCCAGGAAAGTCTGGGCGGGAGCTTAAGGCAACATCAAGGCAGGAGCTAAAGGGGGGGCCATGGAAGAATACTGCTCACTGATTTGCTCCTATGACTTGCTCAGCCTGCTTTCTCAGATAACCTGGGGCCACCTATCTGCCCAGAAGTGGTACCACCCACAGTGGGCTGGGTACCTGAGACTTGCCTACAGGTCAGTATGAGGGAGGTATCTTCTCAGTTGAGGTTCCTTCTTCTCAGATGACTGTAGCTTATGCCAAGTTGACAAAAAAAGAAAAAAAAAAAAGAAAAAATCTAGCATTCACACACAATCCTTAACATATACCTTGTTCTTGTTGTAAATTATACAGTTATTCTTATAAAATATTCACAGGAAATAAAAATACAATATGAATAAACATTTAACCTGTATCTCTTACAGCACAACTTACATTATGCCTGAGACTAACTAGGTAATTGTGGTGTGTATCTGTAATAAAATAATATATGACCCTTAATAATGTTTCATAACTACATTAGTATCATGGAAAATCATTCATAACAGATTTTAATAATATCAAAACAGGCTATAATGTAAAATTATAATTTTTAGTTCTCGTTTATAATACATTCATGTCCTTCCTGTCTTCCTGAGATCAGTCTTTCTGATAGAATTTCCTGAGGAAAGCTCATGATTTAAACAGCTCCAACCTAACCAAAGATTACTGTTTAGCTCTCAACAAAACACATTAACTGATTCATTTCCAAAATCTTCATATACAAGCCTTTGACAGAATGCCCCCTTATGGCACTTCCTAACTGGTTCCCTTTGGGACACAATCCCAAGGTGAAAAACCATGTCTTCCCCTCTCTTTACTAGTGCATGCTGTGTCCCCTTGGGGCAGCTCTTGGGCAGAAGGACACAATTAAGTTGTGGGACCGTACTGTGTATTATGCAGATTCTTGACCTAGGATCTATGTGCAGAATTAAAAAAAAATCCATAACCTTGTCTGGGAAGAACCTATATTTACATCACTAGCAGGTAGCTGAATTCTTCATTTACTTGAGCTACACATATAGGCCACAGGCCACAGTAGTGTTACAGGTAGTTCATCTCCATAACCACTCGAAATCACAGATGCTTATATTACAAAACAGGCATTGGGGATTTTTCCTATGGTATTCTTTATAGTCACCACTCCTTTTAAATTATTTTAAAAATTATTTAAAATCGACTCTGCTTTTACACTTGGTATTAATGATTTCACTGAGAAGCAATGAGGTTAGGGATAGGACTCAGTGGTAGAACACTTGCCTGGCATGTACGAAGCCCCAGTTTTGTTTTAGTTAAACCAATGATACTTATTTTTTGAGAGTTTTGTATAGATATGCAGTGTATTGTGCTTACATTTAGCTCCCATTACCCTCTGTTACCCCTTTCCTTTCCTTGTGAACCCCATCTTCTTCTCCCCAGAACCCCAGTGGTTCTAGCACTGAAGAAAGTGGCACCCCGTCCCCAATCTGCTAACCATTAGCAGTCAGCAGCTTCACAGGAAGGGCCTTGCAGGTCGCTTTCCTGTCTGCAATGGAATGCTGAAGGGTCAGTCTTTCCTGGGTATCCCTATGCTGTGTGTTCATGATTCCAGCAGCCATGGGAGGCAGCGTTTCATGGAACGCCTCATCTCCAGCTCTTGAAGGCTTCAAGGCCACTCTTTCACAGTATTTGATGCTGGATATGGTGGCAAAGGCCTCCAATACCATTTCCCTGCAAGACAAGAGGATCAGAAATCCAAGGTCAGCCTTGGCTATAGAGCAAGTTCAAGGTTGTCTGGGCTATATGAAACCCTATCTTAAAAACAAACAGACAAATAAAGAATCTATGTTACTATATTAGGGATCGAGGGTTTTAAAAAATACTTCAAGTCTCCTGAACTCTAAATAAATGTACAGTGGAGGATTCTCTCATTCTTTGGGGGTAAAAGGCACCAATGGAATGACCACGTAATATACTGGGATTTTCCGGAGATCGGTGGTGTGTGCTTCCTTTCGTCAGGAGGGCAAACAGTTCCCACCATACACAGTACACACATACTCCCCTGCCCCACTGCCCAGCCCTGTGGTGTTCCTCAGCGAATAGAGAGCGCCTTGCAGCTCTGTGATCTGAGGGTTTTGTTTTAATGGGAGACATCAGACTAAAACAAAGGGCTAAGAGAAGTCCCAGCTGGGTTCAAAGTTCAAGAACAGGTATGATTCTGTTCCCAGGTATGATTCATTCTCAGGTATGATACCTGGGAAGGTAAACGATGTGGGCGGAGGCTTAGACACAGGGAACCTGCTATGCTCCTTCACCCCAGCAAAGGAAAATGGGCCATTGCTGGCGGGTCATGTGGCTTCAGGATTAGGAAGATGAGGGATTCCCATATGATGCCATCTCTTTCTGGAAAGCAGAAGACAAGCTGAGCATCAGGGCATGAGAGAGGTAGAGGGGAAAAGATAATATACAAATATCACGTGGCAGCTGGAAAAGACTTTTCAGTCTATACTTACTAAAGCCCTAATGGCAGCCTTGCGTTTGAGACCCTTGTGTCTATGTATCATATTTGTGTGTGTCCATGGACAGGACACGCACCGAGGACAAGAGTCAATGTGGGATGCCTTCCACTAT